TTTTGGGGAAAAAATCTAGTTTTGCCCATTCCAAAGATTTATTAATTAGAAAAACAGATTGGGCTTGTAACAGACTGCCTACTTATAGCCCCACTGAGCCAGACACATTCTTCCTCCAAATAATGCATCATTTCTTCATTCACTTCCCAACAAACATATAAAATTCTTTAGTCACTAAAAGTGTGCAAGTTTCAGTGGTCTATTTTGAAATTTGTTTTCTCCCTAGCTTTTCTTCTCCCTCTTCACCACTTCTGTACAGATGGTGCTGTTTTGCCTATGACTACTCAGTGAATTAGGGTTAGTATAGTGAATATACTAAGATTAGTATATTCAAGTAGGACCACGCAAAATGTATGGACGTGTACCCCTAGTGTGTTTAGCTGACTATAGTAGTAGTAAAAAGAAACCCTACCTTGAATTTTGGCTTTTATTACGAGTAAATGTCGCTTTTAAAAAATGAAAACATCAAAATGGATGCAAGTCAATGAAACATACATTTTTCACATGCAGCCAGTTCAGAAGATCAAAGGAGACCCATTAAGTAGATTGGCATTAGTTCAACTTGAGAGGCATGAGGAATTTTTAATTTTGGCAATAGTGGCATGGATACTCTAGGGGCCAGTCCTAGTTGTACTGGATTTCTCTGTTGATAGCTAATGGGCATCTCTCCAATGGCAGCTCAATGGGAGCCTATAAATGACCATTCTGTACAATGAATGGTTCTCTCTGAAGGTTTGTTATCTACATGCATTTTTTTTTTTTTTTTTTTCTCAGTCCTCTTTTAGGAAGAAAAGAGAAAAAAGCCAGTTGGTCTAGTAGTTAAGGCACCAGGCTAAAAACCAGGAGACTGTGAGATTTAGGCCTCCCTTAAGCATGAAAGCCAGCTGCGTGACTTTGGTCCAGTCACTCTCTCTCAGCCCAACCCAGCTTACAAGGTTGGTGTTGTGGGGAAAACAGGAGCAGGAAGGAATATTAGGTATGTTCACCACCTTGAGTTATTTATAAAAATAATAAAGGTGG